ACCGCTGCATCGCGGCCGGCTCACAATCCCACCGACGCGCACGATATCGGGGCGCAGGTATGAGCGACTCATTCCCTTCCTGCCGCGCAGACGTCCTCCGCTATGCTTGTCCAGAGTTGTGTCCTGCAGAAAAGGTCTCTCAGCACGCAGGCGCCACATTCGCGGAAACTCAAGGCACTTACATGAGGTACGAGAGCCGCCGACGGGATGTGCACTGTCTTCGGGCCGGGTGTCGGGGCGGGTTGCGGAACAAAGACAGACAGACGCGACAAATCGGCGCGGACGAGTCGTACTGGCGAACAAGAGCCCTTTCTCGGTCAGCGCACTCGGAATAGGCGGGCCGGGGAAACTGAACCTAGCGTCCGGCGCGCGTCGATCAGCCGGACGTCCACGGCGTACACCACTTCGCGAACACAGTGCGTGCTGTCAAAAGTGCGCCGCGCGCGCGTCGTTAAACTGACCGAGTGCCTCGTACTGCACCGAACCTGCCTCAGGTGTCCTTTGCGCGCAATGACACGGCCGCCCCGCAACACGGAGAAGGGCGGCGATACATTCTATCGAGTGCTCGAAGGCGGCGGCAGAGCCTGAGCGGGGCAAGTGTTGTCGTCTGGGGGCCTACGCATGACGCTTCTGCGCCAGGAACGTCTGCTCACGACGTATGTCCATTCGCGAGGCCATGAGAGACACAGCATGACGGCGGGCTACCGTCGAATTAGGCCTGTTCGTGTCTCGGCACACTTGACTGTGCCGTACGCGTCTGGTATTCCAAGCGCATGTTCTTTGCATTCTTCGCGGAACGTGGGCCGACTGGAAACTCGAGCAGGTTAGTACACCTTCTCCGTGACGTTTGGCGAGCCTGCTCACCATGTTCTGTCGTGCGGGCGATGTTGACCACTCCGCTGGCCAGGATCCGAAGGTACCTCGCGCTGGCTTCCGGTAGCCTGAATCTGCACATGCGCTCACCACTTGAGGACTCCGCGTGGCCCGGGACTCGGGCGCACTTGGCGGCCGGGCATGACCATCGTGCATGGGCGCTGTGTCGCGGTTCCAGGTGCCGTACACGGCCTGCGAGCGCCGGGACGATGTGAACCTACTCCTCCACGTATGCGCCCGTCGCTTATCCTTGGATAACGCGGTGCGCGGCTATGTACCTGTTTGCTGTGAGTGCGCACCCCGTCGAAGGCGCGAGGGCTACTCACCAGCATGCCTACAGGACGGCATGAGGGCGGGGGACGCGAGAAGGAGCTGCACGAGTCCACCGAGAAGGATCTGACGTCTGACCGGCGCAGAGCCCCGCCGCGACGAGCGAAGGGACTCGCTGGCATTCTGGCTCCGGGCCGCTCATTCCGGGTGCCCGGGCGTACTCGTGCTGCTGGCTGCTCGCGCACGGTGAGCGGATGTGCGCTTCGGTCTGTGAACTCCGCGGTACGACTTACGGTACTTAGCTTACGGTAGCAAGGGCGGGCGTACGCCGGCCATCCGCATCAGGGTGGTACGGGCAAGGTCTCGACTCGCATTCGTTCCTGGCGCCGGTCGGAGTGTGCCAGGAAAGTCAAAAGCGAATCTTCGGGAGGACGAGTCGCGGTCAGAACGGGGATCTCGTCGTCGAGGCGGGAATCTGGAGATCGAGTTGCGATGATCTACCGAGGGTCCACAGTACGCCTAGAGGCTAGAAATGCGGTGCCCTGGCTGCGGCACCGCGCGAGTCGCGAACCAAACGATCCGGTCGTGTAGATCTTCCTACGGCGATAGAACTCGGTGCCGTAATCGAGGTCGTTGGCAGGGAACAAGCAGATGTCGGTCGTCGCGAGATGCGGGAGAGCGAAGCGTGCCGTCATGGCGGTGGAAAGCAAGCACGGCGTACGGAGCGCCCGCCCTCGCATGCGAGCGCCGAGACGCACACAAAGTCCGCGGTCATAGACGCCCGTCCTTCCGCTGCTACAATCAAAGTCTGGCGGGTGGCGACGATGGACGCGAGCGGGCGCGGGCGCGGGGACGGCGGATCTCGACTGAATTATCATTAATCATTCACGATGCTACTACACTAGAATACACGGTGGTACTACGTGCGCGGCCCGCCCTGCATCGAGTCCGCGGCGCGGCCATCGCTTACCTTGTCGGCCGCGAACTGCCCTCCCAGTGTGCGCCGGTGACCCTTGTCCCCGGCATCATACCGCACCGCTCCGCTGCGTCGCAGGGAGTCCCTGTACACCCAGTCCTCGTCTCCAGCTTTTCCTGCGGTACTCTGACGACCGTCCCGCCGCTCCGTCCCGCCTCCCGCAGTCAGTCAGTAACAGCATGACGGCAGACCACGCACCATCGCTCTGCGGACCCGGCGGCGCGCCGTCATGGGTCCTCATCGTCCTCTTCGCCATCGACGCCCCGGACAGAGATGATTTTGAACACCCACCAGGGATGATACCCTCAAGCTGGGTGAGCGTCCGGAACCCGCGCAGCGCCTCCTCGTCTGTCGCGACGGTGTACTCGGCACGCCCGGTGTCCTTCAGCCAGGCGTGCTCGGGGCCAACACCGGGGTAGTCGAGCCCGGCGCTGATCGAGTGCGTCTCGACGATCTGCCCGGTTGCTGACTGCAGGACGTAGGTGCGCACGCCGTGGAACACGCCGGCATGGCCCTTGCTCAGCGTCGCGCTGTGCTTGTCGCCGCTGAGGCCTTCTCCACCGGCCTCGACACCGATGAGCCTGACGTCCTTTTCGTTGATGAAGTCGTAGAACGTCCCGATCGCGTTGCTGCCGCCGCCGACGCACGCCACGACAGCGTCGGGGAGCTTGCCGACCTCCTCGCGGAGCTGCTCCTTGATCTCCTGCCCGATCACCCGCTGGAAGTCGCGCACGATGGTGGGGAACGGGTGCGGGCCGATGGCGGAGCCGATGAGGTAGTGCGTGTTCGAGAGGTTCGTCACCCAGTCACGCATCGCCTCGTTCACCGCGTCCTTGAGCGTGCAGGAGCCGGAATGTACGGGGATGACCTGCGCGCCGAGCATGCGAATGCGGAAGACGTTGAGGGCCTGGCGCCGGACGTCCTCTGCGCCCATGTAGATAATGCACTCGAGGCCGAACCGGGCACATGCAGTCGCGGTGGCAACACCATGCTGGCCCGCGCCGGTCTCTGCGATGATGCGAGTCTTGCCCAACCTCTTCGCAAGAAGGATCTGTGGACGGGCTCAGCAGCACTCAGTATGGCGAGTGCGGAAAAGTTACCTGTCCAATGGCGTTGTTGATTTTGTGTGAACCCGTGTGGTTCCTGGTCGGAAATTAGGAACACAACCGAAGTAGGCGGGGGCTATGACTCACAGATCTTCACGCTTCAACCAGATGGTCGCTCCGCCGGATGCCTCGGTAAGCTTCTCCGCCTTGTACAGCCTTGAAGGCCTGTTCATGTAGCCATACAAACTCTTCCACTCCTCCTGGAACTTGGGGTCGTTCATTGCGGCGTTGTGCACCTCCTCGAGCTCCACCAAGCAATCCCAGAGTGACTCGGGAACATACTGGCCACCGAACTGACCAAACCGTGGCGGCAGGATCGACTTCTGCGCAGATTCCGTTGACTCACTGTGACTCACGCTCGCCCGCGACGGCGTCCCGGACGGGCGCGGAGTGAAGTTCGGCCGCCTGGGTGGCTGGCCCTTCAGACTGATCTCGCGGCAGTACTCCTCCACTTTCTGCGCGACCTCCGCCGGGGGTGCTGCCTTGATGACAGAGATGATGCGGCTGCCGATGACAACACCGTCCGCACCGGCGTCCGCAACGAGGTCGAAGTGGGCACGGGTCGCGACACCAAAGCCGACAGCGAGGGGGAGGTCGGTGTAGTCTCGGACGCGTGCAACGAGGTCGGGAAGGGCACTGTTCATGGTACCGGATGCCGAAGAGCCAGTCGTGCCCATCTAAAACGGGAATGAGAGCCGTGAGATGACTCATGTGAGCACGGAGAAATAGTGGAAGTACCTTGGAGACGATGTAGATGAACGAGTCAGCAATCGAGGTGAGGAACTCGATGCGGTGTAGGGATGTGGAAGGGGCGATGAGGGGGACGTAGGAAAGTCTGGCGAAATGAGTTGACCGAACAAGAACTGGAAAGGCAGGGACTCACTTGGAGGCACGGCATTTGTCACGGAAGGCGACAGCCTCCTCTGGCGGAAGATCGACGACAATGAAACCATTCGCGCCAGCTTCTGCCGCGTCCTGGATAGCCTTCTCCTCTCCGTATGCAAGAAGAGGATTATAGTAACCTGACAACGTTAAGATTATCTGAAAGAAAGATCGGGAGAACGGATGCGGACGCACCCATCAGCAGCACCGGAGTGGTGAGACCCTTGTTCCGCGCCTCACGAACCATTCCAAGGCACTGAACGTAGTCGACGTCGTTCTTGAGTGCGACCTAGGCATCACGAAAGGCGGGTTCAATCTCGCGCGCGGGCTCATGAGATGCACGCGACGTACGACGTTGGTTTCTTGGATAGTGGGACCGTCGGCGATGGGGTCTGAGAACGGTACGCCAAGCTCGATGACTTCTGCGCCCCCCTCCTGCATTGCCAGCATTACGGGGACTGTGTCCTCGACCCGGGGGTACCCCGCGGTCACGAAAGTGACTAGCGCGGGGCTGGTCTGTAATCACGATGAGTGCCGCGCCTTTGAGCGAGACCGCACGACACGCACCGAGCTGTTCTTCGCTACAAACACGTTTTGGAGGGCATCCATGGCGAATCGAGTGAGTGGAGGAGTCAAGGGAGGCGCACCAGTCATTTTATGAGAGTGGGACTGAATAATCTCGGGTAGATTATAGATCTCGATCTCGCAGCAATCTAATCTAAGCGAGTCAAAACGGCAGATGCGCTCGTCCTCCTCCATCTCGCTCGGAACGACCGTCTCGTCTCGCCTCCGCGGGCATCGCTTCCACCGCCGTGGACGTCGGACGAGTGCAAGGTGCTCATTATAAACACCGGCGGCACCGTCAACTGCGACAGGCCTCAGACGCAGATCATGTGACCGCCCTCGATGACGTCGTCTCTCACTCGCTGCACTCTCTGCTCTTGCCTACGCTCTCGCCACGCTCGCGACGCCCGCCTTGACTAGGACTAGTGCTAGCGACTCGTCTTCGTTCCTAGACGCTACCTACTACATGGCCACCGTTACCTACGCGCTCGCATCCGTCCCTTCCTCCCTTCTCTCCTCGCTCTCCTCGTCCTCCGTTCGCCGTACGCACCACTGCAAGTTCCTCCATCGGCAATCGGACTGCCTCACTGCCAACCTCGCTTGTACGTACCGTAGCCGTCACCTATCCACTCTCCGCAGAACTTGGACGCGTCCGAGTCCGATCGGACGCACACCCAGAACCCGTCAGCTTCGCATCGTCCTTCCGGCCGACACGCAGTCTCACCTCGCCCCCTTCGCGCCTACTCTCTCGCCCCGCGCTCTTCGTCAGCACGCCCTCGAGCACCGTCGTAGCGCTCAGCTCCGAAGCAAACCCCCTCGACGGCGAAAGTCAACGCTGTGGACATCGACCGCGACAAGACGTCGTCGCACGCCGACCACAGCAGCAACAACCAAACAGAGTAAGCGAGGGCAGAGAGGAGGGCAGAGAGGAGGGCGTCGACGAGCACGGCTCGTTCATGCCCTTCGTCTCTCCTCCTCCGCTCTCCTTTTATACCTCCGTGTCCAGCAGCCACTCACCCCATTCCTCCAGCATATTGCACCTACATGTGCTTGCCGAGAGGCCCGTCACCACGTCTCCCAGACTACCGCCCTCGCCGCGCCGCGCTCGTCCTCGGCCCACCGTCGCAGTTCCACGCACCGTGACGCACGTACGTCCCTCCCGTCTCGCAACCCGCTAATTTCGACTTATGCCGTATAGACACGCTGTGCACGGCGCATGCCCATTGCCTACCCGCTGTCCGCGCTGCGGGACGACCGCTACGCGACCGGCGCTGTACCGTATCGGGCCATCGCGATCGTACCGTGCCCGCGTCAAGATCCGCACGTCCTAGTCCCAGACGCACACAGACGAGCACGGAGGACCGCGGCTCGTACGCCTCACGCTTGACGTCAGCAAGACCACGCCCCCGGTCGACAGAAACGGCTACCGCCCGCCCGCCGCCGCCGTACGAGCCGAGAGGATCGCGTCCGTCGCCAAGCCCATCCTCGCGCGTCCGGACGCGACGGAACCAGCCCAGGTGCGGCGGCCGTCGACGCTGTGGAAACGAGGGCACCAGGCGCCCCAATTGCGAGAGGAGCGGACACTCCAGAGGCGGTGAGTGGCTGGAACTCGAGATCCCAGCCTGGAGATCCCCCATGCGCCCCACCCGCCGTGTGTGCGCGCGGGGCGTGTGCTGCGTCGCTCATAAACCTGCCGCCGCCGCCGCCGCCGCCGCCGTCGCCGTCGTGCGCGGACGCCGTTCGCGCGGTGTGCGGCGCCATGTATGCTTTGGGCGCGAAATATATCACTTGTCCGCTGTGTCGTCTGCACGAGCACCCCGGAGGGCGTCGACTGCGTCTGCAGGCGAACGTGTGCGTGGGCAGGCTGCGCCGTCGTGATCCTCGTCGGGAGCGCGCGCATGCCCCGCGCCTGAACCCGCCGCGCCCGCCCAGGAAGACGAAACACGGTTGTCCACCGATCCATGCGCTTGAAATCGGCTCGATGCGGCGCAGGGAGCGCAACGCAGCGTGTACGCGCCCCGGCGCCGCCATGGCGGGGCGGGGCGCGCGGTTTGGGGCTTCCACGCCGCCCGCTCCCGCGCCCACGCATATTCAAACATCACAGGGCGTAGATGTGCACCCCCCATGCTGAGGTTATGAGAGGCAGATACGCTGCGCCGCCCCGCACATCGTGGCGGTTGTTCCGTCTGCGTCGGGGACGATGCTGGGGCGGATGAGCCGAATTTCTGCGTGGGGGGATGCGGTCCCGCACATGGACGAAAACGTCGACCTCGTCAGATCCGCCCGAACCTTTGCGAGCCGGTGCAGCGGCGTCCGTATAGTGCGTGGAGGTACGGACGCCCCGGAATTCGTCGGCGCGGGGGCGCGGGGTGCGGCTCTGTGGCCCCGCGCGCCCCCCGCACGCACATGTTCGGACATAGCACGCAGGTACCTCCGCCCCCGGTGCACACAGCGTGAGGGGCTGACGCGCCGTGCCGCGCTGCACATCGTAGTCGTGAGTTCGACCGCGTCGGGGAC